ACCACACTCCACCAACAGCAGTAATCTCTTCCACACGGTTAGCGACAAACACTCCACCCACACGCAGTCCCTGACTTATCCACAAGAGAGCAACACTGGAATCTGTCCAAAGGAATTCATCATCAATCTTAAAGACACCACTGTACTCCAATCTCAGTGAATTCAGAGTCAAGCTCCTAGTAAGGCACCAAGAAGTTCAAGGCGAGGTATTGTGTCTCCATTCGGTGGGGCAAGTCGACATTTCAAAGCAACAAGATTCACTGTTACGTCCCCATTTGTATCTGCAACACGAATGTAGGCTGCCGCAGCATAGGCTCTAGAGGAGGCGTCACACAAAACGTGAAGTGACAGTTTTGTGTCCTTGCACTGAAAGGGTGTTATTCCCAACCATTGGTTTACTCTCAGATGGTTTCCTCCTGACAACCCTTTCAATACTTCTTCAACACGCCTTCGCAAATCTGGGTTAACTTTGTTTCTGTTTTGAAACAAGGAACAATATTCTAGGTGAGGAAAAAATTTCCCTTCTTTTCACAAATTATGACATTCTGAACCAAATGCTGCCAAGCATTTTCCTCGACATTCCCAGCTTGGTCTTGTTGGACTGTAAGTCGAAAATAAACTTGTTGTGAACTGTTTGTTCCCTTACGGTGCCACAAACAAAAACAACAACCAAGACCAAGAGTTGAAACTAAATCCTTGATACATTTCAAGAGGAACATGCAGGGACTATTGAATATGTATAGCGGTTAGCCATCAATGAAAGACCCAGTCTGATTCCCAGAATAACAAACCAAACCTTGTCAAAATCATAGCTAACTTTTTTTTACTTCTCCAAAGGATCCAGGGATGGCCACCAGAGAAGTAGAAACACAAGATAATTATAAAGAAAGCTTCAGTGAAGACGAACTTTCATCAACCTTGTTAAGGCCACGAAGAACCCAGGTATTAAAGCTCATCTTACCCACACTGCCTTATCCTTTAGATAGTAATTGCCGGGCTGACTTAGATACTAGTAAGTATAATACTAATACAAAATCAGGTGAAGCTAAGTCAGAGTTGGGTTCCAAAATTAGCCTTTGTAGCTGGTGGGATGAGTGCTTTGTTTTAATGGCGGAGCCTCTGCTGCGAGAAGAACGGTAATTAGTTTTCCCTGCGGCTTTGTCACTCCGCCAAAAAAAGGCACTTACGTGTGAAACTTGCCAGCCTCACACATCAGCTTCAAAGCTGATACAATGCATCTGAGTGGATGCAGAGGCAGACAGACTTAACATACCCATGGACGAACAAAGTGGGAAGCTGGAGTAGATGCCTTGCCCCTCCAGGGTTCTTTTAAAAGTGGATTTACTCTCTCATGCTGAAACTTTCAGTGGCTGTTCGTTTACCATTCGCCAAAATTTTGATTTGATAACCAGCCCAATTGTTTCTCTCAGCGACATTTCTCAAATACAGTAACTGCCCCTGTAACATAAGCGGTTAGCAAAACTGCCAAAATGACATGTCAACAAATCATTTTTCTTCATAGCTAGCAAAAATATAGACAATTCTATGGGTGTTTTGGCCTCTTCTAATTCTTAACTTGAGTCAGTTTGGGCTTCAGTGGCATACGTACTTGAAAACGCGAATTATTTTGAGATGACATCCACTGTCCCTCCCAAATTAAATTTACTCACTGATGTATTTTACTGTCTTTTTTAAAAGGTTCAACCTGGTGAATACTCTAAACCCGAGAGCCAGTATGATGACATCATGACTCCATTACTTACCTTAGTACGGTCATTACATCTTGATGATGAGGAATATTTTCCAACGCCCCAAGCTTATCACGGACTACAAGCCCTTAACAGATGTTTTGGCAGTTTGAGTGATGGAAGAATCAGTCTAGTATGCTTTCAACTAAACCAACCAATCTCAGAAGTCGCAAAAAGCACGAGTTCTTACATCAAGCGAAAATCAAAGGAGGTAGTAGAAACAGCTCTGGAGTGTATTGCCCCAGACAATCATCTGAGTTACGCCTTCCACAACTAAAGAGCCAAGCCAAGAAAATAAGATTTTTGTGACCCTAGTTTCATTGCACAAAGGAGCGACGTCATGGTACACAAAAATGACGATCTTATTCATCTTCGTGCAACACTACAGTAAATAGAAGTTAAAAGCTATGGTACCAGGTCTGACGACATGGAGGATTGATCAGGCAAGAAAGCATTGTGCAGTTGTGGGTGAAGGAGTCTCTGAAGACTGGATGGGGGAAAAGTTGACCATTTCTTGGATTTTATTTGTAACCCACACTATCTTCAAGATGTTGCATACGGTAAAAGAAAGCTTAAAATGTCAACCAGTGAATCCATCAAGGTGCCTGATATGGTACAAACCGTATTCAGTTCCAGGATGGTCAAGCTGTATCAGTCATACTGCCATGAAGTGGATCTCTACTGCCTTTGTAGATCAATGCTATTTTCTATCTTAAAGGTAAAATACACGGTTTGATAGACAGCAGTCACACATATTGCTTAATCCATGATATTTTGCATACTTGAGAGGATTTCCAACAAGTGGAAAGTCATGTGTTATTTAACGAATAGATTCCATCTTGCTGTGCGTCTGTTCAGTAATAGATCAAAGATGACGTCAAAATGTGGTAAGAACAAATTAGTGGCACACAAGGCGATAGCTGAGTGTGTCACTGATGTTCTTACCACATTTTGACGTCTTCTGTGATAGATTACCAAACAGACGCACGGCAACATGGAATCTATTTGTTTTATATAATAAAGAAATCAAACTACTACAGATAAAGCTTTCTTATTTCAGAATCTTTCATCATAACTTGAAAGCCAGTCTTGCTCACTTTGGCGAACACAAAAAAAACCATTTGACGTCATCTATTGTCTATACAAAATGCAGCAATCTCATTGGTTGCTATGTGTTGCAAAGAATTCTGATTGGTCGAGGAAAATCGTGCCACTGTCAAACTTGACTTGAAAGTCGCTTCACACAGAATGAAAACTAACAGCGAAAGCAAAATTGAACTGCAAAATCCACAAATCTTAAAGAAATACTGGAAAAGTCCAGTCAGTTTTTGTCATCAGAGCAGCCCTAGGAGCCAAAAAGCTTGGATGTTGCCTTGAAAATTGCAGGAGTTGAAAAACTATTCTCGGTGGTTGTGGTCAACAATGGAGGCCATTCAATTCGAGTTTTGAATGGAGAATTAGTGATGGTGGAAATTCGTGTCCTCTGTAGTTGATGATTCTCAAATCAGTTTGATATAGTGTCGGAGACACCTTATAGCTGTGATACAGTTGGCCATGAACTGTAGTAAGTTATACTTTGTTTGCTGCTGTGCCCTGAAAAGGACTTGAACATTCGCATCGCAAAGCAAGGTTATGTGTTTATTTTAACTGATTTTAAGAAGTGATGCATTGGTGTTTCATTCCTGACATCAATCTGTGTCAACAATTATTTTGAAACTGAGAAAAGTTGAATTTTTTAAATAAATTAATCACAATTAGCCTTGAATCTCAACAAAAATGCTGACATCAGCATTTCTCTGAAAAAAGAAGGAAAGGGTATTTCCTCACAGATTTAGAATTTGCCTTTACATACAGAAAAGCAAACATATTTGTAAAGATCTTAAAACTACATGGTAAATAGTAACATAAAAGCCAATTTTCGTATGCTTCAATGACAAAATCATTGCAACAGCATTTTCAGCGTCCTTGACAGCTTTCCTCTAGTTAAGCTAAAATACAATCTAAATAACTTTCCTCATATCCAGAAACTAAACACGTGTCGAATAGGCTTGCCACTTCCATTTCATTACATAAAATATGGTAAGCACACGTCTTTTAAAGTTTTTCATCTTTTTTCTTAACTTTTACGGTGCCCATTCCATTTTTCCTGTCAAGCTTCCAAGAAATAAAACGTTTGCGTCTTATTTTGCGTGCGCACTACGCCATCTGCAAGTACATGTTTACAGTTGAATTTCAGTATAATCTTCAACAGATAAAAGTAGTCTGGTATTCCTGGCTTTAGTGCAGGTTCATTAAACTTGATTTTGTTACAGTAGAAAAATTGTACTTTCATTTCAGTCATGTACTTGCTAGCAAAGTTTATTACGTACGTCAATGCCAACCCTTAAGGATTGTCTCAGTAATCTGATCCAATGAAAGACACGGGGACATAACCAGCAAGTTTGCTGGAGTAATAGAGTTTTTATTGCACTAATTAAATGTTTGTCCCGTTCCTAATACTCGAGCTCTGATTCATTGATATGGATCGTGTTTTTGTCCTGTGAAGACGATACTTAAAACATTATAGTCCTTTATACTTGAAGCATAGTGCAGTGAATTGATGACGAGTCCATGTTTGTTAGTTACCAGAACAGAAAGAAGTACGACACCAAGAAAGCCGCAGAAAGATTTTTGCAATGGAAGGCTCATATTGTGAGAGCCAGGAAATTTTTCACTGAACCTCAAATTTTATGACTGGAAGATGGACATAAAAGTAGGAAAGGATTGATAGCTTGAGTTATAATATTTCAATATTTACTGTCTCCACATGGTACCTACGTACCATATATTTCTGTGCTTAGAAATTAATATATTAATAAGTTTATGATCATATAACATGTGAAGACTTTAGTGACCTTTCAGGGCAGAAAGATAATATTGTAACAGACAAAAAAACCCTTGAAAATGGACAGCTGCATGACCAAAATACTTAAGTGTACAGATAGAATATTATACTAAAGCTGAATAATCCAATCATTCAACCGTAGCTTCTATTCAAATACCAGTTTTTTACAACAAAGTATCTCTTTCTTGATTTTCTCGTGAGACAGTAATAGGAATCAGGAGATAAAATTAAAGGGTGCCGTTTCTACAAGTGCTAGAATTGAGTAGCATTTGCACGCTATGCAATTACTAACCTAGCCTCCGAAATGTCAGGTTAATTATGGGTTAGCCTGTTTAAGGTTAGCTCCCAATAATGGTTTCACTTGTTTCGATGATTTTATTTTTTTTTTGTTTCGCTTGTTTTGCCAGTTTCATTTCAGTCATTCCCCTGGTTTCACTCATTTCGTTTCAGTCGATTGACATTTCATTGCTATATGCCCTGCCAATTGATCATGCTATAAACTATGAGGGGTCATCGCTGCAAAAATCCTGTTTCAAATTCTGTTATGTAGAACCTGTGTAGTTTATAAATTCTATACTAAAAACACTAGAACAGAAATTGAACAAATGGAATAGAATTTAGAAAGATAGAATTGAAATCACACAAGCAGAATAGAATTAAAATATCACAAACACAACATAACAAACATTGGAGCATCAGATTAGAAATTGATGCTGTTCCAACTTCTGTTCTGTTGATCAACAAACTGAATGGAACCTGGGAAAGACCCAGTTGAACATTATAACTTATGAATATTAATGCAATCCAATCATTCCCATGCAAAGAAAATTTATTCTGCTTTGATAAAGACTGCTGTTTGAGGAGAAGGCAATGATCTCCCCATAAGGTGCATTTCTCTGCTTCAAGGAGTTAAAGTGCCTATGAAGTAAAAAAATAATTGCTGCTTATTTGAAAGGCTTTTCAAAGTAAAGAAGAATGGCATTTTCCTTTTTGGAATATCTTTCTT